CTCTAATTTTGCGGTTACGCTGAAAGGATATCGGCTGCCACTTCAGAACTCTCACTACTCCCTCACCTGAGAACTAACAATCTCGCATTAGTTTCCAATCAACTGGACCAAATTGGGGATTTTAACCTGTCACCTTAAAATCTCCAATTTTACTTCCAACAAAGTATATTTTCTCTATTTATTTGCACATAACCCCATGAATGACATCCTCTCCCATGAAATCAAATATGACTCTTACTATGTTGTAGAAATCATAGCCCTTTCGGTACATATGTTTCTCAACACGTTTTAACAATTTAATTGGTCAGATCAAAAAGTAAATGAAAATCGGAGTTCAATTCATCACAAATTATTGATATTTAAAATTGTATAAAATAAAACCAGTTCTTCACAAAACCATATCTACTCATAATTCATGAGAAGGATACGACAAAACATGGATTTCATATATAAAAATAAGTTTACAAAACAAATAAATAAAAGAACACAACTTATCTCACAATCCTTTCCAAGCAAATCCCTAGAAGTTCTCTCCAAACATTCTTCCTCTTTACAAGCATTATCAAAAAAGTAATGAAGGAGAAATCTCTCTCTTTCTCTCTCCTCTTACAATCCTTGAAGAAAATCTTCAAACCCTTGACTCTCTCTCTCTCTCTCTCTCTCTCTCTCTCTCTCTCTCTCTCTCTCTCTCTCTCTCTCTCTCTCTCTCTCTCTCTCTCTCTCTCTCTCTCTCTCTCTCTCTCTCTCTCTCTCTCTCTCTCTCTCTCTTACTCATGTCCATCTTCTTCTCTCCACGCCACCACTCTCTTATGCCTAAACTTCCCTCTCTTTTCTTCAAGGTTGTCTTCCTCCAAAATTGAATTCAAAACTCTTTCTAAAAATTTTATCCAAAAGTCAACTCTTTTGAATTCAAAAGACATGTCTATTGATACAAGAGACATATCACTTCATAAAATAACCTTTCAAAGTGTCTAGATACATTGAATCACTCCATGGGGTATTTAGAACAAGTGTCCCTTTCAAAATTCACACAAAACTCGTCCTGAACCGCCTTAATCAGCAAAAAGCCGTCTCTGGAGCTTCAGGCATCAGTTATGGTGCTTTAGGCTTCATCCTGCTTAAGACCGCACTGTTATGGGTTTTGGCCTTCAGGCGTCAGCTCTTTGTAAAGGGGCGCTTCAAGCGCCATAATCTCAAAATTCATTGTTTTGGCTCAAAATTTTTTTTTTGTATTTTTGCTCCAAATACCTAAAATTGATATACCTGCAATAAAAACATGAAAATATCATTCTTTAAGGTGCAATATCACTAAAAATAAGCATAAAATGTATACTTAAAATAACGTATTATTTTGGTGTATCAGACGACGACGCTAAACCCCGCATCTAGAGAGGGATCTTCTGTCGCTTGTACGGTTCCCCAAATGGGTGAGTAAAAATCCCTTAGCCATTCACTTACGCCAACAAAAAGTTGTGCTTCCAATTCTTTACTCCAGATCAATTAAACGAATCTTCCTATTTGAGGTAAGGTTCACATAACTGTCTGGAATGACCTTGAAGTATAACACATGAGAGCATAGATCTCGTGACTAAGGGATTTCCATCCTGTGACAATAAATAATGAAGGTCATGAACAACGCTATGCAGTTCTCCTTGAGTTGAGTCGGGATAACACAACAATGATTCAGAATGGCCTGGAGCTCATGGCAGAGAGGAAGATGCAGCCCCTGAATGAACTCATCGTGATATAACATGAGTCTTTTGCCATAATCAACGGTCGCCAGATTGTTCATACTCGGGACCTTCAATACTATGTCATCCTCAAAAACATACATTATATAGAGTCTTGAAACCTCTTCGAAAGAAAACATTAAGCATCCGACACACACACGTTGTCGAACTCCTGAGGCAAGTACTTGGATGCCATAAGAGGCAGTTGGTGGGAGAGCAAAAGAGGAGAAACGACCAAAGCAAGCAAAAGAAAAAAAGTGAAGTCACGGAAATGCCACAATCTTATATATAGGGTTCAATAGGAAAATGAAACTCCATAAATGATACCTCGAGAAAGCAAAATGTGCTTCATGTCACAAGAAAAAAAGAGAAGGAAAATTAAAATATTCACACAAACTAAAAAGTCTGCAAACCAAGAAGTAAAACTTATATTCATTCAGATAAGAAAAATTTAACAATCAGCTCATCAGCCACTTGAGGCACAACTAGTCTTGCCTCAACAACTCTTTGTAAAAGACTAGAACCCCCTAATTTAAACCTATATATATTGTCAGCCTCGGTCTAAAATCAGGAAAAAAAATAAGGTTAGTGAACATTTGTTAGGTCCGTGCACAGATGAACATTCACCATTTGAAGGTACCTTGTGTCGGTCCAATGATCAACCGCATCAACCTTAAGGTTGAAGAGTTATGTCGACAGCTTCTCAGAAAGGGCACCCAGCTTCGCCTTCAACTTATGAATATTGGCCACTTGTTGGGCCTCAGCTTCCTTCTGAGCTTCGAGATCGCAAGTAAAGAAGTACATCGTCTCATCCATACAGAAAATCATAAAATCGGTTGACTCCCTTTCGATGGCCACCCGTGGGTTCTCTGCTACCTTTTGAAGGGTTGTGATCTGACACTTGACGACCTCCAGTGAGTCAAAGACAGGAATATGATTGGCTGCACAAGACAAAAGAAGTCAAGATAGGCTAGGGACAACCATTTCGATAGATAAACAAGCAATTGAACTCCTTCTAACAAGGAGTCGATCCACCTCAGATCAGAGCAAATATGAGGACCTCTCACCAGACATGGGTGGAGCGACCGTGGCTCTCATATCCCCGATCTAAGAAGGGAAAGTTGCATCCTTGTCCTTGTGCAGCACGCCATTGAAAATCCATCGGGTGCCTTTCTCCACTCGCTCTCTAGGGTTAGCTGGCGCCTCAATGGGAGTAGTGATTGGGTCCTTGCCAAATTTTCGATACAACAAAGGAACTTCATCAGAAGACTCCCTCATCATCACCACACTCACTTAATGACCCCTTTTGAAGGCTAACTGCTTTACTCTTCTTTTCTTAGTAGGTCCACCACCATCAGGATGTTTTCATCAATCGCTAGATGAACCACCTTCATGATGACGACTTTTAGTAGGGGCTTGCGAAGGACAAATTTTCTCAATTGGAAACCTAAAACCTTCATCAGAATATCATATGACGGTTCACCGGAATTACTTCTCTTGTCACTCGCCATCAAAGCTTCTTCTGCAGAAGATGACCAAGGCTCCAACCAGAGTAGAAATGTGAAAACAAAAACCACTGGTGACAGCCTATATATAGGGTGGCATTGCTCGAAAATCCAGAAAGTTTAATCATTATTTGCTAATTTCAAGAATTAAAATTCAATTTAATGCAACAATTTACTTTTTTGTTTTTTTCACAGCTATCACTTTCAAAAAACAATAAAGTTTGGGAACTAGATATGTGTGACAGAATTGCAACAACACAAAGCTCGAAGCAAAACGGGAGTACACGACAAATGAAATGGACCCCTAATCAAAATGTGCCAAAATCATTCAAAGAACTAAATTAATTAATCAAGAAGAATATTAACGCAAATGCAAGGGGAACATTACGGGACTCTGCTGAGTCGTTCTCCTAGTTGACGGGCCGACCGACATAAAGGCCAAATTAAAGATGCTTGTAGAATGAACCGAACAGAAGATGTCCTATCAACGAACGAACGAACGAACTGAAGTTTAAGAAGTCATAGGCACACTCAACTGAAGAGCCTTCATATTACCTTCACGTGGTTCGAGCTATCACTACCGAATAAATAAGTACGGACCAACAAACAAGAACTGTTGCTGCCAGTCAACAATTACTTGTTAGCATATTTAAATGTACTATATAATTGACCTTGATACCTCTGTCTCTTCTATAGAGAGGAGACCTAAAGAAAATTATGTATTAAATATATCTCCTATACCTATAAATAGAAGACCATTTCATAAGAAAAAACTTTAAAGACTCTTACTTTTACTGTTCATCTCTTCTTATTCACGCAACTCCTTTCTCATGCGCTCTATTCCTTGGGTGTAATTTTCGAACATTTTTATATTCAACAAAATTAGACGACTTTCTTAGAGCTACTATATTTTAACAGATCAGCCTGAAAAAAAAGATCTTCCTATCATAAAAATTTCAAAAAAATTACATTAAAATAATTGCTCAAACAGAACTGTTATTACACTCTAAAACGCATAGGAGGCAGAAAACTGTCCCAAACAGATCCTTATTGCAAGCTTGAAATTACAATTAGATTTTTTATTATTATTAAAAAAAAGTGCACCATAGATAAAACTATCAAACTCTCCAAATTTACAAACAAGCATGTATTGTGCCATTTCTTTTAAAGAGCATTAACTTAAGGTTATCTTTTGACTGTGGGACTAAAATGTAAGTTCTGCAACCGTTTTTCTTTCAGTACAGCATTTACATACATAACACTCATTTTCTATGTATTTACATATCCAACATTTAAACTTTACCTTTTATACTTATACCATCTAAATCTTTCATATCACATCAAAAGAAACTTTTAGCTCGAATGAAACTCCATGGCAGTAGCGTACAGAAGAAAAGCAAAGCTTCTATCAACAGAATCTTTTCAATGCCGCAATGCCTGATTCACATCAAGCTTCCATGGAACTATTTTTATAAAAAAAAAAAACTTAACTGGACATTGTTTGTTACAGCATTTACATACATACCACCCAATTCCTGTGTATTTATACATATCACATATAACCTTTTTTTTTTTTTTACATTTATACCACCCAATTTTTTTTATATTACATACCAGTATTTTAAGTCATAAAAAGTAAAATACTGGTTTTCATGCAAAAGTAAGATGGCATGGCTATAAATTCAAGTTCAGATTTTTGATATGTAAATACATAAGAATTGAGCGATTGAGCAGCATGTATGTAAATCTTCCGTGTTGGTCTAAGGAAGATCTAAAAATTATTTATCCATAATTTAACATCAAAGCTACCCTAATCACTGATATTGAAGCCTACTGCAGTAGCTTTGCAACACACTAACCATACTTCTTTGATGTATATCAGCATAGAATATTTACCAGGGGCAGCTGAAGCCACCCATAAAACACATATGCACAGCCAAGCAGTGAGTCGAACACAACACACACACACACACAAACGAGTTAGAACGCGCTTTCAATCGCAATCATTGCTCTTGAGGATGTTGAATTTGCACAGCGGGCAGGTTGCGTTGATTTTAAGCCATTTTGTGATGCATGCGGAGTGGAAATGGTGGTTGCACGGCAGCGCATGAAGCTCGCTTCCTTCTTCGTATGAACTCAGACAAATGCAGCATTCCTGTGCAGCAGAAATCTAAGTCGTTATAAAAATACATCGAAATTTTAAAGTTTTCATTAATTAAGTATTTATTTTATATTTTTATTTAAAATAAAGCTTTTTTTTAATCTGTTATGACATGATTCTTTATTTTTAAAACAATTATAACAATTTTTAAATATTTTGAATGTTTTTAAAAATGATTCAATTTATTTTTAGAAACAAAAAAAATCATGAGCATGCAAAATATTTAAAAAAAAAACTATATAAAAATATTTTTAAAATAAAAAAAAGCAAAAAAAAAAATCCCAAACAAATCCTAATAAGCTCAAAATTAGGAGAAAATTTTGCGTACGTAATATATGAAAACAGAAGCATGAAACTTACTATAAGATACATGTAGGTTACATGTATGTTACAGAGAGTATAACACGAATGTAACCCTCCAATACCCTTTGAATAACCTCTTTGTCTTACGTAAGCAAATTTTTCTCCAAAATTAGAAATCATTTTTGAATGTCTGTCGTATTAAAATTAGAAATCATTTTTGAATGTCTGTCGTATTAAAAGGCACAAAACGTCAAATAACTTCATCTAAATTTTTAACTTCCGAAGAAAATGATATGGAACCACCAAAGGAAGAGCAAAAATGAAATAAAACTTCATGTTTTACCGCATATTCACGGAAAAGAATCCGTTCTGGAAGACTTTCGCTGTTGGTTGAAATTGGAATCATTATTCCTACATCTCCCATCCCGCTGCTATCATTGGCAGAATATCTGTATCTTGGTAGAAGGCTAATATCAGCATCCGATGCCCCTTCCTGAAAATAGAATTGGCCCGTATTATATATATTCATACAAATAGAAGCATTTTGTTCAGAGTATCAATAACTAAATCGTCATTTGGACCATTTTCATTTTTTATTTTATTTTTTTATTATGTATTGATTTTAAAATATATATCAATATTTGTCATACATGATTAAAATATGACTATTTTTTAAAATATTTGAAACATTTAGAAATTATTTTGAATATTTTTCAAAAATATATTAACTTATCTTCTTAACAAAAAAAATTACTAAATAAATATATTAATAAAAATAAAAAATAAAAATAAAATTAATCCCAATGAAGCCCTCAGATGCTCACCTGGCCTGCGATTGCATATAGTATAGCGATAATGCAAGGTAGACAGCAGCAGAGCGCAATACCAATCACGAAGGCCAAAGCAACGCAAAATATCGCAAAACATACATCAAATGCTAGAAACACTACAGCCAACCTGTTCAGGAAGTTTAAAATCAGTAAATTAAGAAAAAGATAGATGGTCATGTAATTGATTTGAATGTGAAGAAGGGAGCATTTACATAAATACCACTCAATTCTTATGTTTTTACATATCTAATATCTACTTTACACCATCCAAATATTTTTTATCAAATAAAAAATATCATTATTTTTAATTTTTAAAGGAGAAATACATTTTTTTCATGCATAGCTAAAGTGTCATGTATGTTAATATTGCACATACAGAAGAAATGAGTGACATGCACATAAATCTTCCAAAACATTAAAATAACTACAAATAAGAAAAACGTTATTGCTTCTAATGAGCTGACGCAAAAGCACCTCAAAACTTACGTCACCAAGATTAATATATATATATATATATAGACACACACACACACATACATATAATGGTCCTGCTTCTGCGTCCGACAACTCCTCTGCCTGCCTTTCAGCAACCTCGCAGCAGTTTAACGCCGACAGCCACTGATGGCGTTTCCTTCTTTTTTGGTTGAGCCGAACAAAGTCACATTTGCTTGCGTGGTGAGTAACCCTCAGGAGGAGTCCGCAGTGGTATTCCCCTCAAGTTATAAGGAATGTCGTGAGGGTACAGATGATTGTCCTTTTATTAAGATGAGAAGTAGGAAATGAGAAAAAAAAGCAATTTTTTTCTCTGAATCAGAAATTTCTACCCTGACGAACAAATTCAAGTTTGCTCTTATTGAAAAATTTTAGTGGGGACACCCTCCTATGGATGTTATCAGAATGAGTGTTGATAATCTTAAGTTGGTATGCAAGTGGAAAGTGGAACTCATGGATGAGAGACCTGTGTTGATCCAACTAACAGTGGCTGAAAAACACCAGAATTTTCTCCAAGAAATATCTTAATATCGAAGGCAAATCAATGAAGTTACTCAAGTGGTCTCCTAATTTTGACCCAAAGAATGAAACTCTCACTATATCGGTATGGTTTAGTTCATCTGGTTTCAAGCTGCATTTTTTTCACCATCAGGTTCTCTACTCTATTGGGGTCATCCTTGGGGATCCTTTGAAACTAGATATGTCTACTTTCAACCTAACTAGACCCTCGGTGGCCAGAATAGTTATGGAAAGGGATATTACTTTACCTGATGTTATTGAAGTCTGGCTGGGCACAACCCATAATGGTTATTGGCAACAAATCGTCATAGAACACAAACCCCCATATTGTACCTACTGTAAGATGTTTGGTCATATTTTTGCTAAATGTCACAAGCTTCATCCTATTTTGAAATCTAAGGTTCAAGTGAATAAGCAGGAGTCTAACCCTACTGCTATGAACATTTTAGTTCCACTTAAGAAGGATACTAACATGCTGGCACCTACAAACTCCATAGAAAACAATATTGGTGGACCATTAACTATAAATGATAGCGTTCATACTCATAATCAGGAGAGTCTCGCAACTCCACTTTTTCAATAAGTATTCGGTGGAGAGGCAACTCATGCTTCACATATTCTAGAACCTATTGTGGGTACTACTGTTGGTATTCCTTCTGCTTCAGATCTACCCCATTAGGTTGATTATTCGGAGGAGGAATGACAGGTTTACAGTTCCAGGAGGAAGAAGAAGAATGGAGATCTACTAGAGCTCAGGAGTCTTATGGATGATACTTTGGTTACTACAAGTAATAATCTGCTAGTTGGATCCCTACCGAAAACTAGAGTCAAAGACAAGACTAGATTGGGATGACCCACACTTTTTTAGCACCCGGGTGGTTTTTGGGTTTTTTGACTATATGCACCCTATCTTTTACATTTTTTTATGTGTGTTGTACCATGTGGGTTGGGTGTTTAGGCCCACCCATACAAACCTATCTGTATCTTTTCTTTAATATATCAGCCCTTGGGCTTTTAAAAATAATAATAATAATAATACATACATACATACATACATATAATGATGATAATTAAAGTATTAACTAGAATTTTACCAAGCTAATTTGAGAAAAATTGTCGAACAAAGCACCATCTGCATAGTTTAGGAATGAAAGAACAACCACACATGGGTACTGTAAAAATGAACTATTATGTGTTTATTATGGTATGCGTATAAAATTTATTACATAGCAATGAACTTCCAAAATGCATCAGTTAACAAAGGAAAGATGAGTGAAAAATTCTAAAATACCAAACTTGCTGATAGAAGTGATGATTATTCAAAATTTCTTTTGAGAGAGACCAAAAACTACGCCTTTAATTTAATTCGAGTAAATTTGGGAAGAAAGTGGATGGGATTTATTTTATTTAATATTCATGTCATCAATGAAATCAATTTTCATAATAAAACTCAGTTAACATAGAAAGGCTGAGACATAAGCATAGAACTGGTCTACAAAGTATGGTCGGGAATCATACCAATAGAGCCTAGGTGCATTCTGCACAAGAGCTTCACCACCTGATATCACCCAATAAAATCCAACAATCCACCAAAGAAAGGATGCCATGGTATTAACCGATTCACATTGTTTGAAGACACTGGAATAAAAAAGTATTTCATGTTAGGAATGAACAAAAAACTAAATTAAACATTGAACACAAGGGTAGGCTGCATTAACCCTTCAGGGAGAAGAGGAAATTTTCCATTAATAATAAAAATGAAGACAGTGAAGCAAAACAAGTTTACCGTTATCAATATTGCTCACAAATTAATCATAATTGAATTATGATTAACAAAACCATTATATATATATATATATATATATATACACACACACTTGATGCACAGATTGACATATATGCATATTTACATACATACATACATATTTATATATGTATATGTATACACACACACATATAAGTACTTTTGGGAGGGAAAAAATAATTATTCCTTTTCGATTTCTTAAGACTCATTTACTAGATAAATAGTAAGGAAAAGCCGCAATATCTTAGGGAAGTCACAAAATCCTCATGCTAGAAAAAGGAAAAAGAAATTACCAAAAATAGCTAATTCTAAAACTAAAAACTACTAAAAATAGAAACAATAAAAATAGAAGATATCAAAATAGGAAATTCCTAAAATTCCAACACCCTCCTCAAGTGGAAGCATAGATATCTATCATGCCCAACTTGCTTACAATGAACTCAAAATTAGGCTTGAAAAATCATTCGATGGAGATATCTACTATTTATTACGCTATCAAAGTAAAAGACATGCAAATAACACCAGAATCAATCTTCTTTTTTATGAATTGCCTATCAATTGTGTGATCATGTTGCACTAGATTTTCTGCAATGCTTATGATAGCTTTATTGTCGGAGTACAACTTCATCAGTATGTTTATCGGGATTCGTAGCTCTTCAAGGATTCTCTTCAACCATAACATCTCACACTCCATTAGACATAGCTCAATATTCTGCCTCGGCATTACTCCTTGCCACTACATCATGTTTCTTACTTCATTATGTAACCTGATTTCCCTAGATATAAGTATAGTATCAGGACGTTGATCTCCTACCAACAACCGAATCCTCCCAATCAACATCGGTGCATGCTTCAATGTTTTGTTATGTGATCTTTTAAAAGGTTAAACCTCGTGTACTTATTACGTAACTACTTCAAGGTGTTTCTCAGTGGGCGAACGCATAAATTGTCTTACCAAATTTACAGCAAAGGCGATTTATGGCCGTGTAGATTAGCTTTTCCACCAACTTTTGATATCGAGTTGTATTCACTGCGTCACCTTCTTTCTCATCTCTTAGTTTATGAATCAAATCAATTGGAATGTTTAAAACCCTACAAACCATTCATTCCAATTTCCTTTATAAGATCAAGAACATACTTCTGTTGGGAAATAACAATCCCTTTCTTCGATTTAGCAATCTCCATGCAAAGAAATAACCTTAGAGATCCTAAGTCCTTGGTCTCAAAAACTGATGAGAAGAAAATCTTCAACTGGTTCATTTCAAATACTTCATCTCCGGTGAGATTTATATCGTCCACATACACAATCAGTACAATTATCTTCCCATTTTTTTAAATTTATGAAGAACATTGTATGATCTCCATGCCCTTAATTACACCCTTTTCTTTTAACAAACATTGTAAATTTATCAAACTATATTTTTTGTGACTACTTTAACCCGTATAAGAACTTTTTAGTTTACACACATTTGTGTTGAATTTCTCACTAAATGTTGAAGGTACATTGATACCAGAGCTAACCCAAACCACAACAGAATGAGGTCGAAGGCATTCACTTTTAAGAGTAGAAGAGAAATTGGCAGTATGCCCATCATTATTTCGGCGCTTTAAGTAGAGTAGAGGAGAAATTAGCAGCTCCAGCGTATAATTCGAAGGGGCTGAAACTGATTGAGTATATGATGGGCATACTTTCAATTCACTTTAATTCTCCGGTTCACGGCACTCGGGAATGAAAACTGGAGGAACGGAAAGAAGACCTCTTTCACTCAAATTACAAATTCCAATGACGACCGAGAGAAACAGGAGGTGGCGGAGAAAGTCCCTATCGGAAAGAAGCCTCCTACTGAGAACCAGCTTCCAGCTTCAAAGGCAACAAGAAGCATAAATCCTCTATGTCGTGGTAGGTCTAGAACCCTCGACAATAGAACCATGGAGAAGTTGCGACGTAAAAACCAAGCAGTAGCATATCCAAATCCCTCGAATGCCACTGAATCAAGTGATGTCGGTTTTCTGAACAGTGCAATTTAGCCATTGCATTCCCGACTAACTCTAATAGCGACTGACTCGACAAGGTCCTTGAACACCGCGATTCAGTCGTTCCCTTCCTAACGAGCTATAATCATGGCTTTCTCGTGAGGGGTTTTTTAACACCGTGATCCAGTCTAACTATAATCAAGACTGTATCGTGAGGGTTCGGTCACGAAGATGATGATAATGGGCAAACTCAAATAGGCAGGAGTCACACAACATAACCCACAGGCAATCTTGACGAGATTAGGTCGCGTTTCAAAGGCGAAGATTAGCTCGAATACCAGTCATATGATTAGTTACGACATAATCAATTATCTAAGAATAAATAAAATTATGGTCAACACCTAATAATGCAGTGACTAAAGAGTAACCCATATGTACTGAAGAACAAGACGGTGTCAGTGATAATTTTGGAAATTGAAACAACATGTACAATTGCTTTAATTGCTCCTTGGTGAAGAGTATTACATCCAATTGGGTAAAAGGCTCTTGAATTTCATCATCAGTGGAATGATAAGTCTGACCCTAATGTTTAGATTTTAGTTTTCAATTTACAGGTTTACCATGAAGCTTCCAACATCTCTCACTTGTATGTCATGATATTTTGCAATGCTCGCGACAACATGGGTAGGTCGAAATAGTTTTCGAACTACTGGAGCCAGCAGAAACAGTAGAATCTTTTTGGGCGTCCGTCATCGCCGACTTGTAGAACATTATTAGAGAAGAGAAGAGAAAGAATCAAAAAAATCGAGCCAATTTTGGTCATGAGTTATTTCAGCGCTTGAAGTAGAGTAGAGGAGAAATTGGCAGCTCCTGCGTAGAAGTTGAAGGGGTTGAAACCGATTGAGTATATGATGGGCATGCTTTCAATTCACTTTAATTCTCCGGTTCACGGCACTTGGGAATGAAAGCCTTCTCTATGAAAACTAGAGGAACGGAAAAAAGACCCAAATTACAAATTCCAATGGCATCAATGACCGAGAGAAACAGGAGGTGGCGGAGAAAGTCCCTGTCGAAAAGAAGCCTCCTACAAAGAACCAGCTTCCAGCTTCAAAGGAAGGCGACAAGAAGCATAAATCCTCTATGTTGTGGTAGGTCTAGAACCCTCGACAATAAAGCGATGGAGAAGTTGCCACGTAAAAACCAAGCAGTAGCATATCCAAATCCCTTGAATGCCACTGAATCAGGTGATGTCGGTTTTTTGAACATTGCAATTTAGTAGTTTCATTCCCAACTAGCTCTAATCATGACTGTATTGACAAGGTCTCTTAACACCGCGATTCAGTCGTTGCCTTCCTAACGAGCTATAATCATGTCTTTCTCGTGAGGGGTCTTTGAACATCGTGATCCGTCTAACTATAATCAAGCCTGTATCATGAGGGTTTGGTCATGAAGATGATGATAATGGGCAAACTCAAATAGGCAGGAGTCACACAACATAACCCACGGGCAATCTTGACGAAATTAGGTCGTGTTTCAAAGGCGAAGATTAGCTCGGATACTATGTAGTTTTTGGGGGAGGAAAAATAAGTATTCCTCTTTAATTCTTTAATTTTCTAAGACTCAGTTACAAGATAATAGTAGGGGAAGACCATGACATTAGGAAAGCCACAAAATCCTCATGCTAGAAAAAGGAAATAAATTACAAACAATAGTAAATTCTTAAAGTATAAACAGCTAAAAATAAAAGATATCAAAAAGAGAAATTCCTAAAATTCCAATACTATATGTATTTATGTATACATATATGCATGTCAGAGAGAGAGAGAGAGAGAGAGAGAGAGAGAGAGAGAGAGAGAGAGAGAGAGAGAGAGAGAGAGAGAGAGAGAGAGAGGCTTCGATTGTTATTAGAAGCATAAGGTTCTTTTTTGCCTAGTAGATTTTGATCATGAGCATCTAAAACAAAAAATCAACACTAATGATTATGATCAGCCATGTAAGAAATCGATAGAATCAAAGCTGCAAGTTTTATGATTATTAAGAAACATGCCATGAATAAGAAAATAATGAATGGTGAATACTTGATGATGCAAAATACCTAATAGTGGCATGTAGGCACATAAAAAATTTCACTCAATTAGAATATTTTCTTTCATATTAAATATATAATACGATAATAGACAATACATACCATACATTTGTGAAAATTCCTTACATGGATGATCAAAAATCAAAAAATTGTAAAATCAAATGAACATTAATTTCTGCTTAGTTTCATTGGAGATGATACGGATACTTTCCTAGAGAATGGATCCAAGACTCAAGCACTCTCTATCTTCCTCTAAAAAAGAGAATCAATACAAAAAAGAGCATTCCTCCTCCTCTCTCTCTCTCTCTCTCTCTCTCTCTCTCTCTCTCTCTCTTTATCTTTTATTTTATTTTTTTATAATTTTTCATCAATGATTTTGTAATTATCAAACTCAATATCGGAATGTTGAATGGAATCTACAAAATAAATACAACAAGTGGATCAAGTTTATTCAATTTTTGTGATGATTCAACTATTCAATTCAAATGCGCATATAGAGCCCTTTTAAATCACTAATTTTAATCATGTATTTCATCAGTCAAAATCATTGAATATATATAAAAATAAGCAATCCATATTTTTATTCCAATCAATTTGAAGGTCTCTATACTTCAAATCATGGCATCTTATTGAATGGTTAGAGCCAGATATAACGAAAATCTTAATTTATCTAATTATGAAAATTCTTAATGGTGTGCAAGCAGTTAATTTTAATGATATCAATAAAATTAGCAATTTTAATCTTCCATTTAAAGGTGATAACATCATAATTCA